AACTTTTTGGTAAAAACCTCGTTGTAACCACGTTGTTACGGTGCATTGAGAGAATTACTTATATTATACCATTCTTTCTTATATTCAGCAAACCGTTCATCATTCATTTGAAGTTTTTTTACGACTACCTTTTTTAACTGAAGTCAAATGAAATGTAATGAAATATCTATTTATGTACCTATTTGTGCAAATATTTTTATCTTTCTGAAATTAAGGTACCGGAACTCCGTTCCACTGCATTCCCCCCAAATCGAGCACTGAATAACAGTAAAACTCTATCCCCTATATCAACAATACAAATAAAAAAAACAAAACATAACATTTACAAGAGTTTAAACTTTATGCGTTAACCATGTTACCAGAAAAATAGAAGCCTGTATATAGAAACAAAGTACTGTAGGCCTACCTATGGAAATTGAATTTAAGGTAAAAATAACAAGATATATATTTAAATTTGTTTTATTTGCAAGCATTTTTGATATTGTTATTTCATTGTGTTTCAACAACTAAGTTATTTCAACTGTGCAAATACATTCTGGAGGTAGCATAAATTAATGAGTCGGTTCATTATAACCTAAACTTTACCTTCCTAATCGAACCAAACTTCAAAACACTTAATACAGTCACGAATTCGCATAAAACCCAACCTACCTTCCCCATATGCCTAACTAAGAGCTGATTATTTAGTTTCAAAACAAATTGATTTAATTCCGCATTGAGTTGAGTATAAACAGCTGTTTGCTTTCCTCACACAGTCCTCGGCCCACGTTCGGACCCGCCCAGACAACGTTATATTACCATCCGAACCGCGAAATGAACCTTAGATTCGTAATTTTAGCCTTCGTTTTACATCCACTTAGGGATCTTTCCGACAAAAACTGATTACATTTTTGGAATCAGCGTGAAAAATACTGTAAGTAAATATCTAAAAATTTCATCATATCTCAATGTAGATATAATAAATAATTGCCAAATATTTTATCGGATGAGTAAACACATTTAATCTTAACAATGCATATCGACATTTATATCCAATTGAATTTTTCGATTACGAAAATTCTTTTTTTCCAATGTAAGTCGCTAAACATCATATTGATTTAAGTTATGGTTGGTACGGTTTTTGTTCATATTTAAGAAATTAAACTACTGTCTGGGACTAACTTACAATTGACCAAAAATAAATTATAAATTTGGCCTATTAAAAAGAAAGGGTAGGCTACACTTCCATATCTGTTGGCACAAACAACAATATTGATTATTCGATTGTTTAATTCGATATATCGTTTGGTTGGTTAGGTTAGGTTACCTTACCTAACTAACCAAACAATATATCGAATAATCGATATATCGATCGATATTACTCATTCGGTTGTTTGTTTCAACAGATATGGAAGTGTACCCAAAACGAACAAAACAAATAGGCCTAGGCCTACCTAATAACAAAACAACCAAGGATAAAACAATAAAATGCTTGCTTCTTTAATGTTTGGTTACCTCGGTAGGTGTACCTATGGCTCTGGGGAGTGGGATTTTTTAAACGTTATTTTTTATTTGTACCTTATGGTAAATTTATGATAGGTAAACTTAAATTCAATAGGCCTACGATATTAAGTTAAGTTGAAATCATACCGATAAGTAGTTATTCATCTGATAAAATAAGTAAGTTATCGTTGGTTCTCTGCGGAACTGTAACTTACCCAGTAGGTAAGATAGGTAGCCTACATTTTTATAAACTCATGAGAAAGATCAAAGTTAACTTACCGTAGCCTAATTTATGTATTTAAAAACTTATCTCTATAACAAATCATTCACAAAAGACTCATGTTCATTTTTAGAAATGTTACCTTTGTTATTAGGCCTATTATAAACTAAAAAGTGAGCTACACAGTGTAAAGAGTCTCCTTAAAAAATTATCTTAGGCATAAATTGTTCAATATTGAAATAGGCCTTGGCCTACATGATAAATAATGGCATGATAAATAGGTACGGTAAGTGGTATCACCTAAAAGTAAATCGATTAGATAAGTTATCGCATAGGCTATATTAAACAAATATTTCATCTGATAAGTTATCGTAGGCTAGGTTCTCTGCGAAACTGTTCCCCTGAAGATGGGTAACTTAATCTAAGTAGGCCTACTATAAGGACTCAGATCTAGTAGCTAAAAGAAAGTTATAGGCTACATTACCTTTTTAGGTCTATTTTGGTAAGTTAGAGTTATATTAAGGCCTTTTCTTAGTTGAAACTTGCTAGCGTAGGCCTACATTCTTCGACGGTGAAAAACACATTAAACACAGATTGTTGTATGAACAAACAAATAAACATAGTACTGTGACATTGGACACAGATTTTAACAAAACATTTGACAGGCCAGACCATACCTAGGCTAGGCAACACGGCCATCTAGGCAATTTATGTTAACAGACACACTTTACACAAAAAAAACTTTACATGACACAGCACTTCCTCGCTTCACCGCCTTCCTTCAAAAGCTTAGACCAAATTCAGGAAAGCTCCTTCCTATTGCCTATTCTTGTGTCCATTGGCTGAGTTTCATCCGCTCTTCATCCGAACTGAGTACTTGTTCTAGGTTAAACACTCCTTTTATCTATGGTTAAACTTAACTTAATGCATGAGGTTTGAGTTGAATCTAAAATGCAGTTTAACTGCATTACTTGCCTACGTAATTTAAATGGTTAGGATTTTATTCACAAATGTTTAAGACCTACTTAGGTTGCCGTCTTATCATCAATAGCAGAATGCACTAAACCTTGAGGAATATGTTCTATCTATGACTTAGCATTTCTGATTCTGTCTAAAGTGAGTGAACTGCAGACGACCGATGAAAAAAGGATATATTAAATGAAAAAAACCTTATTTGAAAAAAAAGTCTTAGTACTTATGTTATATCGTTATTCAGTAATATGAATGTACAGTAACTAAATATTTCGGGGCAAAATTTGAATGACTGAATAGATAAAGCCACCGTTGCGACGCCTTACTGATTTTTAATTTAGAAAAATATAACTAAAACCACTGATTATTGGATAATGAAATCTTAACTAATATTAATTAGTCAAAGCTAACACTTAACTTTTAGCAAGTTAGGAAACAATAGTAGACTTTCACCCACGGCATCATTTACCGTCACGTCGTACTTATTATATAGCACAGCCTACTGAAGAAATGTAGCCTGTAGAATAAACATGTAAATATTTATTTTTCAATCAATTGCGATATATTTTAGTAGATAATTTGTTAACTCCACCATTATTTTCGTAAATACATTATTATCCTAGAAATTGTAGAGTTATAATGAAAATACTGTATGACTGTTACTCTATGGATGAAAGAGTAGTCGTTCTCTTTGTCTCAAGAAAACGACAAAATTGTAGGTCGTAAAATGTAAACAAATAATAAAAAGAAGAAGGTAGCTCATAATGTTAATCTTATGGGACAAAATTAAAAATGTTTTTTGAAGATTTTATAATAATTACGGAACAAATATTTTTGAACAACGAATGGTCGCAAGATAAAGTGGTATAGAATATTTGTGCAACACATCAAGTTTATAACTTTAGTCATTCTCGAGATTTCGATCAACAGAAAGATGCATTTCACCCCAGTATGAGAATTCACTTCGTTCATTCAACCAGGGGATGAGTGATTGTGTTATTGACTTAAATTAACACGTTGATTAGTCTATGAATACTTATTATTATTAAAATTAAACTATTCTAAACTAACCTAACCAAACCAAACTTGCTGTAGCGTAAAATATAAGTATGATGACAGAAAAGGCATGTGTGGAAGGCAAGTCAGATTTTATGCGGATTCGTGACTGCATTAAGTCGTTTGAAGGTAGGTTAGATTAGGTAAGTTAAAGTGTAAGTACTTATACTGAGTTGATAATTTATATTACGCACAGGCAGTTGTTGTGCAATTAAAATAGTGTGTTAAGCACAATGAAATCGTTATTTTGTTGTGTTTAACACACTATTTTAATGGCACAACAACTGTCTGTGTGTAATATAAATTATCAACTCGGTTCACTATAACCTACACTTTACCTTCCTAATCTAACCTAACTTCAAAACACTTAATACAGTCACGAATCCGCATAAGCCCGACTTGCCTTCCACACATGCCTAAATAAAATCATTCTGAAATAAGTTATTCAGTGCCGTGTTGTTTCTTAGATGTTTGTAGCACATGTACTTTAAATGACTTGATTGGCCTATTTGTATTCTCTTCAATTTCGTATTTTCATTTTCATTTCACGTTCAGCATGGCCTGTTTTTCTAGTGGGGCCTTGGTATAGAACAAAAAGATAAAAATATTAAGGCTTTATAATACTTTGATAAAGATTTTATGTTTGAAACATATTTAATAGTGGAACATTTAAACGTTGTTGAGTGCACAGTTGTTCTGCGATTGAGGATTTATATATTTGGACTTATCCAAAAGTAAAATAGTTTTCTGTGGTGCATTCTGTGGAAACAAAATGTGGCACTATTTCAAATCATGACTAATACAGAATGTTGTGATTATTTAAACCTACAAAACAGTTGGTGAAATTAACATCTGCTTTTAAATTATATTTATTTGTAAACATTGTAGTTCCAAAATTCTGATATTGGACCCCTTAAAACCCTCTGAGGTGGAGCCCTTCTGCTGGATTTGCTCCAAACTTCACACAAACCGTCCTTGAGTAATGTAGAATAATGCCTGAAAGTTTCATTACAATCTGACGAGCAGTTTCGGAGTCCATAGAGTATATACATACATACATACGCTTACATACATACTTCCTCTTTTATAGATATAGATTACATGGCTTAAGTTTTTTTTTTATTTTGTTTATTATTGCCTGTTTTTTTATGGCACTTCTTTAGTAGCCCTACACTTCTCTGCTTTTCAAAGACATGCCAACACAGACAGGCTTTAAGTATTAGTTGTATATCTAAATTTAGTAAAATATGTACAACACATTTTGTTTCAGGCGGACTACGATGAAGATCCCAACATAAATGGCATCCCTATTGAGTAAGTAAAAGTGTTATCACCATGTTAACTTTGCCTATATCATGTGATAGAGACCTTGGAAGAATTGTTCAATATTCCTGCCGTAGTTTGGACTTTCAATCCGTAGTTGTACTAGCCTTTATGCAAAAACGAGACAATTGAATTGTCCAACTCTGGAACTAGCTTATCCGTTTTGAGAGGCAGAATCGACTAACCATCCCACTCTGGAATTGCCTGACCTCAGAAACAGCTAACTCGATTATGTCCCTTTGCTGAAGTCACTAATTCGGGAACTAGTGAACCTGGCCTCACTTATTACACAAAGTGTTGTCAACGTTATGACAATATATCATGGACTGCAAAGTGTCTCAAATATATCCAGTGATAATGTAGACAATGGCTTTTGCTTGTTAACTAAAATTTTTGACATTTTATACTCTATTATTATATTGGTACTTGGCGACTAATCATTAGTATACTCTGAGAGCAATCTTTGGTCAATTTCACCCAAATATATTTTTCCAGTCTATTTGTAATTTGACCGTTATTGATAGTAATAGTAATACTGTTGTTGACTTTGTTTATGTAAGCAGCAGTTATGATTTGTATGTATTGTATTCAGTTTGTTGTTATTTTTTGTAACCAACACACCCATTTATCTAAAAATAAAAATATATCTAATCTATATAAATAAAATTAGAGTTTTGTCTGTACATTGCTCAGAATCATAAATGTTTAGGTTATTTTTATGTTTTATACATTAAAGAAGCCGAAACAAGTCTCATCTAAATTTCTGTCCGTCTGTCTGTCTGTCTGTAACACTCAAGATGGCATTTTACGCAATCTCCAGGAAAACAAGAGTACCTATCAAGATCCAAGTCATTTTAATGTATTCACTGGATAGGTGAGAGTGTCTTTAGCCATTCAAATATGGCCTCACTACTTTGTAAATTAAATTATGGACGCAACCATTTCCGATTACGTTTCGAAAGCAAATCCCAAACAAGTGAGATTAAAAACGTTTTTCTTACATAACGAATTTAATTAATCGCAAGTGGAATAATATAGTGTAACCGTAAATGAAATTAAATAACTAATCATCATCCAAGTCAGGAACCAGAGATTCTTTGTGTATAAAATTGTTCTTGAGTTTTGATAACCAGAAAGAAGAACTTGAATCAGTGTTGTATAGGGCTGAGAAACTTAAATTTATTAATGATCGTCGCCAATAGCTTACGAACACGGTTTCCACTCATTGACGGCGCTTCAATGGCGATTGTGTAAAGTGTAAAGTAAAAAATCACAACTGCAGTGGATGATTGTATTGTAACAGAGGTTTACGGTTTACGGATGGTGCTAAACTCGCTTTTCCAATGTGTCACTTTCTGTTCCTACTCACCGTGTGATGCAATCGCTGAACCATACACAGCCAATAGGCCTATAATGCTATAGCCCATCTCTTGGGTAATTACGCCTACCCAATTAATCATAACAACCTTTTCGATGACTGTTCTTGATACCGGTACTTTTCCCTAGAACACACGGCCTCCCTACTTCAGAAATAAAATTACAAACGTCCAAAAACCCAGCATTGTGTGATTTTTGTCACCTTTCCTTCTAATGTAGATATACTAATCATTGTTTAGAGAATACGTAATCTATTAAATAACAAAAAGTTGTTTGTATAAGGTTGTTTTTTTCTTTCAAACTGATACCAATAAGTTTACATTAAAAGTTCTTTACGAATAAAGCAATTAATGGGAAATAACTTTTATGGCCGTTATCTTTTTACGAGTAAATCCAAAACCAAGAGATCAATAACCTTGGGACTTGATTAAAACACATTTAATTGGTTGTATGTACTTCTGAACTGTAAACGTTGGTTTTTGGTACTGGTTCTTTGTCTTAGAACTATTGGCAGCAGCAATAATTATTTTTATGTACCAACACATCACTGTAATTTACAAATTAGTTATCGTTGATGTTGCACCTTATTTATACAGTCGTATTACAGCCGTATTCAATTTAATTGATGTCTTAACTGTATAAGTTTTGCTTTTTCTGTCTGGATTCCAAAATGTTAGTTTATGCTAGCCTAAGAAAATGATAACTCATTTTAGTAAAACATTGTTCAGCAAACCATCATGAATTGTTTACGATTAACGTTGTTTATGTAGCCTATCAATAGTTCGTGGCCTATTTTGGTAATTTGGCCTATTGGTTTTACCAATCTAAATCGTATATAGTACTTCAACTGCTGTTCTTAATATAAGAAGGTTTCAACTGACTACTATAAGGGGGGTGCGTAGAACGGGCACAAAGCTATTAACACAATAAATTTGATTTATAAGCACAATAATATGAAATTAAATATTACTTTATTATCACAAAACATTTCACAAATCCAGTGTAGCTGGTGAAACAGATGAGATCTTTAACGCTGCAAAATAAAATAAAAATACCCCGCTGCAGCAAACCTGAAGACTTAGTAAATTTCCATTTACCTGTCTGGATTTCTACTAAAATATTCCCTAAAAATTGTCAGATTTATTTCCTATTTAAATAACATTATTTTTAGTGAGTACTGAGGTTTACTGCTATGGGGAAGATATTGTGGTGTTTTTTTTTATTGAAATGTTGATAGGTTAGTGGGTCAGTCCATGTCAAATCAACACACCTATTTTACCTCACCATCTTAAATTTAAATGAAATTTGCTATATAGGTTACCTTTATGAAGACTAAAAAAATACCAAATTTCAGCTCAATATCTCAAACGGATTCCAAAATACGGCCATTTGCAGTTTAAAAAAAACGGTCAAAATTGTGCTGAGGTAAAACGTCTAAATTGTCATAACTCTTCTCCTGTTTAAGTTAGAAACATGGGAAAGGTGTCATTTTTTAGTTCTTTTTATGCCCTTTCTAATGATATACAACACATAATAGGTTATGAAAACAACATTTTTTCAAATTCAAAAATACATTTTTTCAAATAAAATAGGCATATTTAAAAAAAAAAACACATTCAGTACTCTATTATTTCCTAAAAAATATATAAAGTTGTTCATGTTACCACTAATGTGTACATCAAGTTTGGTTATGGGATTGCAATGGGTTCATGGTGAAAATAATTCAAAACCAATGGTGGTTTGTTTAATTTTATGTATTTTTGTTGGTAGGTACCTATATACAATCATGTTATATCTAATATTGAAATGAAATTCAACCTTGACTGTTGCATACATATGAAACACATTGTAATTTCATTATGTTAATGACGAAGACTAATAAAAAATATACATTTAAATTACGAATTTTGTTAAGGCCAGTTTTATTTATTTGGAATTTTTTTCAAGAAATGAATGATAGTCTATTGTATTACAAATATTTTGGTTGTTTGTTACATGAAATAAATAAAATGCCATCAACAATATTCATGTTCATAAAGTGCTCATCAATGTAGGTTAAAAAGAAACTTACATACGACAAGTCTATATGTGTTGGAGGTACCGTGATAACATTTCATTGGTTCTTAAAATCTCTTCTTCGGTTAGGGCGTAATTCTGCCTATTGGAGTAGTTGGATTCACAGTACATAATACATCAGTGAATGGTAGCCATAGTACATCTGGTCGTCTGGGGTATCTAAATGATGTTGGTTGGAAGAATGTAACTTTTACTTCGTCTTCGTCTTCCTTTTTGTCCATTGTATAAGCAAGCCACTAGTTGGAGTCGTATACAATACCTATGTAACCATTACAGTCTGCGCTTAGTCTGCAGGTTTGCTGTGGCAGGGGTATTTACAGTATTTATCTTGTGATAGAAAATTATTTTGTACATTTAATTTTGTTCTTATGCACTTCCACATTTATAGTGAAAATGAATTAAAACAAAATTAAATGTACGGTACACAAATCATCTTGTACTATACTTCATAAGAAGAAGTGAAACATGAAGAAGTATCACATTCCATTTATGTATAATTATTAACAATTGTAATGTCTACTAAGTGCATTAATATTTACCATTTATTCTACTCACTAAAAGGAACAAAAAATGTCAAACATAAATTTTCCAACCCCACCCTAAGTTGTAATGATTCGGCATTATGTGTATTTTTAAAAGTATCTGTAATTGCTTCACTAACGAGCATAGAAATCTAACCAATACCTGTACAGCATTATTGAGCGGAGCGAGGGAAGCGAGCGAAGCTCTTATACGTCGACTCTTATGCATTTCGTAATACGCAAACTCCTCCTAGACGGCTGAATCAATCGTTTTCAAATTTTGCATGGTGATAAAGACCATATTGGTGAGTGACAACATCTATATGGCGTTAAAAAAGTCTCTCAGGAATCCGCCCCACTGGGTCTCAAAGTTTCTATGTAATTCTTATGGAAGCAGTATTTGACACATGAACAAAGACATTATAATCAGCTGTTGACTTTTGAATGCAGTAGATAAAGAAATAACTAAGAGCATTATATATCCACAGATATTAGAATGGGGTAGCGGATTTTTATCCCCCTGGAATTTTACCCCCTGGGCAAACGTGACGTCACAAACCAGGGGGTAAAATTCCGGCCGCAAACTTTTGAGTTTCGCGACATCAGCTCGATGGATTAAACGCGGAATTAAACATATATTTTCACGGTTGTGAATTTAATCAGAAAACATCAAATTATAAAAACCTAGAGTGTACGGCCCGGATTTTTACCCCCGGAATTTTACCCCCCGGATTTTTACCCCCGAAATTTTACCCCCTGGCCAGATAAATAAATTAGTGAGAATGATTAATTATCTATATTCTGTTTTAATTTAATTGTAAACATTTTATTATTAAGTAGCCTATCTTAATTTATTTGTAACAACAACTAATCGAACAGGTTTTTGATTTTAATTTTGAGATTCCAGTATCAGGATTTGACCTTTGAAGCCAACTGTTGATTAATATGACGTATAAACAAACATCAGAATGTTAATTAATTCGAAGATTTCTTTAACGATTTATTATACAAACGTGG